ACCCGTCTGTTCTCTTCCATAATAATGCCAGTGCTTGAGTACGGCTCAATAAGGCTTTTGACAAGGTGCATCATGCAGGGCTCCTCGACAAGCTGAGGGTGTGTCTGGTATTGACGGCTCGCTACACTGATGGATCAAGTATTTCCTTGTTGATCGAACGTGGAGGGTCCAGGTCGACAACCGTTTGACCGACTGGTATCCATCCAGCAGTGGCATGCTCCAAGACATTCTATTGGGGCCGATTTTGCTTTTGATCCATACAACCGATGTGTCTAAGCTACTCCTTTCATCCTGTGCTTTGTTCGCGAATGACTTATAGGTGTGGAGAGTAATCCGCACATCCAATGACTGTGACCTGCTTCAGCAAGACCTCGACCGCCTCTCCATATGGTCTGCAGAGATCCACCTTCCAATCAACCAGTTCAAGTCGCGAATAATGAGCTGAGTAAGTGCGAGCACAGTCGAACCAACGCGGTGACGGGTAAACCGTTGCATCCCGCGTTTTTCCTGCGAGATCTCGGTGTACTGTCACGCTTCGACCTAAAGTCCAAGGATAACATGAACAGGCTTTACCAAAACAGCCTGCGTATGCTTTGGGTGCTCAGGCGCAGCTTCAGCACTTGATCCGAAGAGATTGCTACCCACCTCTTCGTCTCAATGAAATGATCTATTTTACAGTATGGCTCTCCTGCGTATTGTCCCATCACCCGGGGTGAGGTAGAAAATATTGTGTGAGTGCAGCATGTAGCCGCCAGGCTGATTTCCAGTTTACGAGGTGTGCCGTACGAAGACCGGTGTAGAAAACTAGGGCTTTACACCAAAGCTTATCGTCGTCTGCGGGTTGACCTCATCACGATGCTCCGGATATTACATCTGGGTGATTACCCCATGTTGATGCCGCTGCTTCATCCGCGCACACCAGGCAACACACGAGGACACCGGTATAAGCTTGTCGTACCGGATTTGAAACGGGTCGCTCACCAACTCTGTTTCGAAAGGAGAGTGGTGTATGTACAGAATGACCTGCCGACGCATGTAGTTAAGCCAAATTTGGTGTCGGAATATTAGAAATTACTGGACAAACATTTTGCCGACATAAAATATTTCGAAAGCACTCCAACATAACGAGTCTTTGTCCCTAAGGGACGTTAGATGCAGCTACGCAAAATACCTCTTCTTGCTTCTTCCAACCAGTAATCATTCGCTATTGTCTGATCACAATAGGTGAGGTGTAGTGAATGAAACGTGTCCAGCATGCAGACACAATGCTCATACCAAGTTTAAGGTGTATGTCGTACGAGGACCGATGTAGGTGGCTAGGTCTTTCTAGCTTTTCATTTTGTCAGCTTCGAGTTGATCTCACAGCGACGCACCGGATATTGCACGCGGGCCACTTCCACATGTTGAGGCCGCTGCTGCACCTTCGTGCACTTAACAGCACATGCGGACACCGGTACAAACATGGGGCACCGAATTCAAAGCACATCGCTCACCCTCTATGCTTCGGGTGTCGAGTTGTGAACTATTGGAACAAGTAGCCGGGGACACTAGTCAAAGCCAAGTCGGTGTCGGAATTTAAGAGACTTCTCGATGCCCCCTTTGCGGACTACAGATAGAAGGAGCGTATCGCACCCGGATAAGATGTAGGACAGCTGCATATGCTGCCACCGCGCCGAAATCAGCGACGCCATCCCACGCATGTGCTTGATCCACCCACGATGTAGCAACACCGAGTTTTATCTTCTTGATCTCTGTTCCTAGTATTCAGTATTCGCCGGACGGCTTTTCTGGCTCTGTTTGACAAACCAGTTTGCATCGTTCAGTACCTTGTGCAGAGCATATTTTTCGTGCTTATTCTTGTCAACTTCAGTTTCTTTTATTATTCTGCAATTTGTTTATGTTGTATTACTGTCGCGATCGTATATGTTACTGTGATATTTGCATCGTGTACTTACCGTTTAGTCTATCACATTGACTAAGCTATCCGTAATGACGAAACCGACTCCCTGTGGCACTTGTTGCAAACTAGTTGGGCATAAAGCCAATGTTAGTGCATGCCTTACGTATCATGTGAATTTGCACAGTTCGTGTAATGGTTTGTCGTTAGATAATTTTAAACTGCTGCTTGAAATTCAGCATGAATTACTCCAGTTAATGTATTTGCAATGCCAAGGCACTGTGCAGTCAAAATTGCCGAGAAACAGCGCGCGCGTGCAAGTGGAGCGAAACGTCCTATAGGAAGTTGCTCCGTAGGTTCATACAAGTAAGCGGAAACCTGGCCATCTCTATGTTCGAGCAAGTCCATCTGCCCACCGACTGCAGGCTGTCCAGAGGGATGTCCACTCGTAGTTGAAGCCTCAGCTGGGGTGCCTGTGCAGTCACAAACAACCGAGAAGCCGCGTGAGCCTACAAAATGGGCAAAACCCTTTATGGGGAGGAGATCTGTGGGTTCATAAGAGCCAGCGGAAACCCAGACACCTCCATGTTCAAACGAGCGCACCTGTCCAGCAGCTGTAGACTCTTTAGGACGATGTCCACCCTTTGCTGGCGCCTCAGCTGGCTTGCCTGTGTTGCGTCATACGGGCACTAACATACCAGTTTGCAATAGCATAAGCGATGAAGGCCAATGGAGAATGCAGCGAAGCAAAAAGTAGAGAACAGCTGCCAGAAATCAGCAGCGTTGTAACTTATGATCTTAACGCGCCTGAGTCGACGGATGTTAGTCCTCAGGCTCTTTTTGAACACGAGGTGGATCAGATGCATAGCCGGATTGAAAGGCTTCCCTCCTCTCGGAGAGAGGAGGGAAAGTCCCTGCCTCTGTGAGTCACGTTTGCTGATGAAACGAGTCCGAGACTGATAGTATCTCGCCTCAGTAGACTAAGAAATCTAAACTTTTATATTCGTCCCGAGTTGTATCCGCCGGACAGGGAGAAACTAAAGTCCGCTCTCAAAGAGTTGAAGCGACGGACGGATAGTGCAGAAAGCAATCTCTACGTTGTAAATTTTTGGGTAGTTCCCGAGTTCACCTAACTCGGATTAATAGATCGATGACGCTTCAAGCGCCTCCATCGGTTCCTACCGCTGCCTACGTGTAGCCTTCACAAATGTTTGTAGTTCAATGAACGAACATGATGTGGTGATTTGTTTCGTTGCCTCTAGTGGTCCGGCCGTACTAGGACTGACTGAAACCTGGTTAAATCCTGAGCTCACTACCCAGGAAGTCCAGCTCAGTGGCTACTCGTGCTTTCGGTGCGCCAAAGTACCAAAAAATCGAGACGGCGGGCTGTTTACTTTCGGTCCTCGCTGTGCAGGAGACTGCTACAAACCTACCGCAGCGAATATGGCCTGTGCGATTATGATGCTTCATCAGTCTGAGACAGTGTGAACCTTGCGGCTTATCGCATCCAGCAAAGCCGATGTTTGGATTGGGTACCTCATTTCAGAAACTACATTTGTCGGCCCCGATTCCTGCCTATAAGCGATCTTAACTTCCCTGGAATATTGTGACCTGATGTTCAACTTCTCCCCAGGAACTGTGAAATCGAGGCACATTTTGCGGAAATGGTATTTTAAACTAGGGTAGCACAACATGCTTGCCAACCGACGCACGTTACACCGCATCCCACTCCATCGTGCCTTGACCTAATACCAACGAGTTGCGAGCAACCTGTAAATCAAATTCAGATCTTGGAACCCCTGGCAGTCAGTGACTTCTTGATGGTTGTATCCAACCTAGAGTTGTCGCTGCCTTAGTTGCGTCATCCGGTACGTTCGTACAACTATTAGAAAACCGAATTGGATGACCTCAATGAAGTTGCTAGTGAAGTGCATTGGTCCCTGCAGCAGAATTCATATGGTGAAGCCTGTTATCCTGTTTTAAAAGAAGGTGTGCTATTTGGAGAATCAATTTCGGACTACACGTTATGTGCTTGCATTGCTACTTACAACCTCAATCTGGAGCACGATTCAAGTTGTAGTGAACCTTGGTTACTGCGATCAATGGGACCGTTGCCTTAGCAGATGAAAATTGAATGTTGCGCACCCGAGAATACTGCACAACCACGACGCGTTTTGAAGTCCTTTCATCTCCTCAGGTGGAAATAGTAGGCCTCGAAGCTGCGACCACTGGAATATTAGCCGCTAGTTCTGCCACCTTGGCTTCCGGGTCACGGCACGTTAGTCGAAAATCCCAAGAGCTTTCGTCGCCTATACCTAGCGTTAAGAAGCGCTCATATCAATTGACGCGTTAAAATTTGTACTTCACACATAAATATCACTATGGGAAATCTTGCCCGACTTTCCTGTTCTTGCTGCACATTCTTCTCCAAACTCTCAGCATTGCCATCTGTGAACTCTCTTATCCAAAACCCAGAATTACAATACACTTCCTCCGTTCAGCAATGGACGACACAAGGTTCACTTACCTGCCCTTTTTCTCCACAGAGAAGGAAGTTACCCAAAGGATAAATGTTAGTGGTGTTATCGAATATCCTACCACAAGCAAAACATGGTAAGTGCTAGTGTATATTTTGTATGTCAGTACCGTAACAATATAAATGCCTGCATTTATGGAAGCACTCTAAAAGTGCACCTATGCGTGCTGTTGTTCTATGAAATAAAATATTCTAGGGCTGTTTATAATGATGAAACTTTTCGTATTTATAACAAGCGTGGGGGTCAGATTTTACGATCACCACAGGCTGCAAAAGCAGTTCCTAAGCTAGTGCAAGGCAGTATAAGATTCCACATAGGAACGAATATATGTACTTGTCATGGGGATTAAGCAGTATACTCTAATTAACGTATTTACCCAAAGACATAAGCTTGTTGAAACGTTTTGCAACACGGTTAAGAAAATGGTAAGTAAATAGGAGCATGTGCTCTTGCTAGTTTATATATTATTAATCGTCGCACATCTCTGTCCTGTGTAACTTCGGGTCACCAATATATGCGAAGAATGCTCTTTAATAAATCAAACAAGCTTTCGTCACTAAGGATATTCAGGTGCTCAGCACCTGGAAGTTGCACATAACGCACATTTGTCCAATTCTTACATACAGTCAAACTCCGTAGGTTAACTGTTCCATCCCCATCACCGTGCACAAATTGCGGCAACTGATCTGGAAATGGCTTGCGGCTACTAGTGGCTGGTTTGTACATAGCTTTTTCTACAGTGGCGACTCCCGTTCCGTGAATGCAGTAGACATTGTGCACGCCAGCTGGTCTATTTAGATAATCCATAGCATGTTTAGCTGTTTGGAACATGTTATAACCTGCAGAATAGAAGCCAAAAGAGATCATACATAGGTTGAAGCAGCCAAAGAATCCAATGGACGGATAATATACTTCATTTTTCGTATTTGCTGATATCTATCTTTTGGGTTAACTTTCATTATGGCTACGAACAAATACAAGTTACGTAAACCTAAAACAGTCCATGGAGAATTGATGCAGAATAAATCAATTTTTTGAGTACCGAGCACAAAATCGAATCAATCAAACCAATTGGTGTACGAGGGGTTTCGCGATTAAAATGAACCTTCCAACGTCACCTCAATACATGTCATTGGGTAAAACATGGAGTAATAGATGTGATGGATATACCGTGATTGATAAGGGACCACAGATCATTCGTAATTAAACAGCAATTATTTGCCTTTGGATTTACTAGCATTGCTCGCTCCAGCTCACTTTGTAACATTGCTTGCCACTGCGGAAACAGTAACCGTGGTTCCAGCAACTAAAGCGGAGTAATGCGGTTAACATATATATCAAGCACCGTTAAATTTGACACTCCATTTAGGGAAGAAAGTCAAGTGAAATTAAGGCATCCAAATGTGACCGGAAAGAAGCGTCGAATCATTGCACATAATTCGGCAACCACGAAACCGGAAACGGGAAGATGTATACAACAATAAGAAAATCAGCTTTTATGAATTCTCGCATGAGCCAGACTACATACGCCGTCCATCAAGATCTGTCAGGGACACAACCAAAACTATCGTATGTATTGGCTAGGAATGCTACCTATATTAATGATACTTTGCTTAAGAAATTTGAGTAACGCGTGGGCTGCCGTAGAAATCCAACAAAAAACAGAAAGTGAGTTAAGGATTTAGTTAACAGTTAGTAAACCATAACTATTAAGAACCTGATGAATTTCTCAACAACACAACGTAGAAAATTAGGCCACACAGTGTCAGTCGTTTAGAATCCACGCCTTCTTACATAGCCGCATTGGACCAGAGTTGGCGAACAAATTCAGCTGGTTTGATGTCCGTACAAAAGCGCCAGTCGGACGGAGATTGTTCGTTCAATGCGGATGCATCCAGAGGCGTACATCGATGACGAAACGGTGAAACATAAGGGTAAAGCCAAATGCTAAAAGCGGCTCACATCACGTTTGACCAGACGACCAGGTTGGTCACATGAAATGGCTGGTAATTTGCACTCAGTTACGTGACTACATATGGGACGTGGTTGTGTGAACAAGAGTGGTAAATACTTTCGTTCGTCGCAATCAGCTGACAATTCAGATAAGTCAACTAGCTATCTGGTAAAACACCAGACGTCCGTTTCGCCCTATTGGGGTCTAATCAGTGGTGCGCATCCCTCGGCCCTCTGAGGAGGATCGAACCCATGACTGCGAGTGGCTCTTGCCAATTAGCCCGGAGGTTATACAACTGCGCTATGGAGGACGGTATCCGACCATCACGAATTGTTAGCTAAATGCGATATAGCCCAACCCATCCTCCACTGCCATGCAGGCACTTGCCGCGCAGATGACAGCGGTTGGCCTCCTGGCGTCAAGACTTCCCGGTAAAGATTGAACTTTGATGGAAAAATTCCGGACTGGCCATGCAGTCAAAGTATATACAGTTGATCGAAATGTATGACAGTCGACATATATTTCATGACAGAAATATTACTATAGGTATATTCCTCCGATGTACCAGAGGCAGTTCCAACACTCACGACAGAACATTTGGTACTGTTATCATTATGCTGCTGGATGAATTAGATAAGGATTTATCAGTGTGTACTTGACAACACGTTTTGAACTAAGCGGATTTAGTGGTAATGGGAATTGTGTAACCATTTTTGGTAAAGGAGAAATATGCATGTTTGGTTCATCTCAGAATAAATCAGTCAACGAATTTCCTGATGAAATGTGCATCTAGCAGGGAGTCATCGTTCTGGGTCTTCGTACAATTTGCAATGGCTGTTGCGAAGGCTCGGAATAAAGTTATGTTATGGTTCCCACATTTAACTGATACTAGCCAGTCAGTAATGCAAGTACCTCGAAGCACGCGTCATCTTACTATCAAGTACGTGCTTAGAACAATTTATACTTTCATTTGTTTTTCGTTCGTCGAACTTGACTCCCTTCAATGATCAGTAGATGGCACGAAACCCTGAGATGAAGATAGAGCAAATTGGCACTGTATGCTGCACCAAGAAGGTTCACTTGTGTAACTCACCAATCGCATAGTCGATATCCTCAAATAATCTCTTCATGTCGTGGACTGAGTAATTGTAGTTTGGAGTAATGAGTAGCGGTTCTGCAGGAGACCACAACCGTTCATCGGGCAAGAGTAATGCCATTGAAGTGAATGATCTCAGCAAATGTCTCAAAGACAAAGAGGGGTAAAAAGGAACACCGAGATTATAGCCTAGAATTAAAAGCAGAGTATGTTAATGGTCACTAAAGGGTGCATGTGTGGCAAATGATGGCTGAAGATTACAATGTCAATAAATAAATAAAGAGGAATGGATCTTTTTCCAAATTCAGAAAAAAAAGCATATGCTATGAAGTTAGAATGCTGAAAGAAATCTTGCTTTATCAATGTGCAAGTAAAGAATAAAAGCAACTACTAAACTGACCACTTGCGAAGGCGGCCATAACTCTCGCGCTTCCACCATAAGGACCACTGACAGACACGAAAGCTTCCAGGTAAGTTCTTTTCCACTCATTCGACTGAGAATGTAGGAAATAAAGAGAATACAACGTGCCCAAGCTGTGAGCGAGGATGACAATTTTTTTCTTCTTGTTCTGGACATAAGTTTCCTCAATTAAGTTTTTGAATTCACTCAGAAAGTTTATATTTTCATCTGCAAATCAAATCTGTGTGTATTCACTAGCTTGACAACTTACGTGGGGCCCTGCGAAAATCGTACGGAGCTCCTCGAATGCTGATGTTCCTATGGTAAAACTGCGTTTTAAGCAGTCTCTCCACAAGCCGATTGAAGTATTGGCCAATCAATTTCTGTGATTCGTCCAGAAATTCCAAATTCGTAGTGTCCCCCCAGCCGGGAAACGTAACTTCAAACTCCTCGTTATCGTATGATCGATTGGTTGTGTTCAAGTAGGTTAACCTAAAGATAGTAAAAATGGTATCGTGTTTGTTTGTTGGTGCACAAGCATACCCAAACTCCCGTGTGAGGTTTCTCGGATGAAGTAAACTGCTGATGTTAAGCCATATTTGTCTAAATGGTGCATCCAATTCTCCTCTTGGTTTGACGTATGCTCTACTTCCAATTATACCAGGGACCAGGACAACGGGATAGTGTAGGTGACTCCGATTTGCGAGTACCTGCCCGGTTATTGTCAAGGCAAGAAGCAAGCATAAAATTGTGTGGCGAGCACAAGAATTTATCGCAAAAGCTGCTGAACGACATACACACTGGATCAAATTCATTATCGTTTCCTTTTGTCTAGACGAACCTCAAACACAAGCCATGGTTAAGCACTTATGTTGCTCTATATAAAGATTAGGTGGAACACAAGTGGCACCGTATGCGATCTTTGCCCCCTACATTTCGTTCCACTTCATCATTTGTGTCAACTTGATTGTCTAGTGCATGTATTTCTTCGGTACAAGTGTACTCACATCACGCGAGTGACGTGAATTGCAGCTCAGGATGGTACGATGTCTTGAGACTTGAATAACTCACTTTGAGACAACGGACAGGTAAGTTCGCACGTACTGTAAATGTGAGCGCACAGTAAGCATTACTCAGGCCATTAAGTTGCACTGTGCCTCACACTGTAGAGGAATATGTCGTTTATTTATTCATTTATTTCCTAACCACATATTCTATACCTTACTTTGGTCAATGCAAACAGAAAATGAGCCGAAGTCTTAAACCTTGATGATTGCAACGGATGACAATTCTAGATTTGTACCTGAGACAATATTCACTGAACTTTACTCGGTAATACTCAGAAAAAAGAGAATGGACTTTGTATCATTTTAATAGCTGATCAAGCCAGCTTCCTACCACTAAAGCTAAAGTTCAATGAATAACGAGATTACCATGTCATCTGATAAAGTCATGTGTTATTATTTAGCTAGTCGTACTGCTCGTTTTCAGGTATATTTTTGCCTACCAGAACATACAAGTTTGTGTGAGTAAAGCTTATGCACATTTTTTAATTAACGAGTTACTTGCTGACGCAGTGTGCAACAGCAATGCAAAGAAGCTAATTCGGTGTATTCTACCATGTAACCTAAGCAAGTAAACATCTTTGGTCACCATGCATTTTGAGGCTTAAGCTAAGAAGCCCCTACTCTAAGTGGATTTATTCCGTTGCTACCGGCGGTTCAGTCTTCCGTCTTCAATGAATCACGGGCCATGCTGGTCTTCAGCAAAGCAATGATTCCCATTCCATTAATATGAATGAATATCAGAAATCAGTTCCGGGTGAAGAATTCTTTTCGGTAACTCTCATCGGACCCAAACGTTTACAAAACACTGATACTGTGGGGTAAGCGTCAACTCGGGCTGGGATTTACTTCTGGACAGTTTGAATGATCACACTCGATAACTTGAGACATAGGTAGCGATGGTAAACCAAGTAAACTAAATACACATACATACGCAAAGCTTAGTGGTTCAAAGTAATTAAGTAGGTAAAAGCACAGCCAAATAACTAAGTAACTGTGTCCGTTGGCCAAGGTAGTAGTATCGGCCGTATGAATCGTTTTTGTATATATAATTCCGGCTTCAGATGGTGAATGTAGATAGCCTCGGCGATGGATAAGAGCTCTTTTCGGAATCCTTGGGTGTAGTGTTCAGGTAGTGAATAAATGATTTTGAAGTCATTCTCTGAAGCTGTGTGGCCACATTCAAGGAGATGCGACATGATTGAGCTGTCTGAAGACCTCATTTCGCCTTTGTAAAACCACGCCAGGATGTGGTCACGAATCCTCTGAGATAGGCCTCTTGTCGTGCGACCCACATATCGTGCACCACAGGAGCACGAGTACTGATAAACGATCATTGAACGGGTCAACGAAGGTAGTCTATCCTTCAAGCGTTTCGTAAGCAACGGTTTGTTGTGAAAAACGATTCTCAGCCGGGCCGCGAAATAACTTTTCTCGACGGCGTCTTTCAGGCGTCTGGATAACATATCAGCTGCACAATCGCCCTTAAAGGGTATATGTATGAAAAGCTCTTTCTTAGGAGCAATGCTCCTAGGTGGCTTTCGATTGCGTTCCTTCAAATGTTTCATAATAAATTTATCAGGATAGCCATTTTCCCTGAGGGCGTCGCTGATTCTCTGTAGTTCTTCGTTGACGGTACCCGGTGTACAAATATTGCGCGCCCGGAAGGCGAGAGATTTGATTAAACTCCGCTTATGCTGTAGTGTCACTGCGCTGTGGAAGTTAGTGTACTGTCCAGTCCATGTGTGCTTTCTGTATACCTTTCTGCTGCGTGATCCGTCCGAGTTACGGATAACCTCTACATCTTCCGTCTGCAACAATCAATTGAATTTCGTGATTTGCGTGGGAGGCTGGGGCTGCGGAAGCGTTTGCCACCTCTAGTAAGCTCAATGACATTTTGACAAGGGTGGCTCTGCAATCCCACAAGCAGTAATCAATGGTTACTTCAATCTGAGGTTTATGCTCCAAGGTCTGCAGTTACAGGTCGCACATCATGATCATAAATGAGATGTGATGATCAGCTTCAAGTGTCGTATTCGTGGATATCTAGGCTGATCCTCGAGTAGATGGCATAGTTATGAAACAATACAGTGTCGGTAGTAGCAGTCAGGTAAGCTGAAAATTTATCAAGACGCATCTTCAATTATGCTGCATTCATGGAATTAGGGTCGTACCTAGATCCAACATACAGATAGCCAAGAAATCTTCCACGCCAGCCTAGCCGTGCGGTTTGCACGTGTCGTAGCGTTATAGAAATAAAGCTATAACATACAGTCCAAGCTGGTCTCCAGAGAAGAACACCCCGCCGCTAACGGCAGATATAATATATGTTTGTTTGTGGTTGCCGTTCAAGGGGTCCTTGTGGCGAAGTACATCCGATACAAAATCCGGTCCGCCCTAGTGCGCACCTACACGACTGCCTAGTCGCAACTCATGCATGTCAAGCGAGTTCTTGTTCTTCATAACCGCCAGCTAATCTCGACAAACATTTCGTTGGGTATCAATTCACTTGTAGAATCGGTGACGTTCATAGAGGTAAAATTGACCGTTAGATGAATCTTCTACATGATGGCTGAGATAATTGACGAATCAACAAAAGCTAAGCGGGTCCGTGGATGAACCGGAGCCCGACATCATCTTTCACCATGCGCGTCATGGTGACATGTAATCGTGTGAACCCCATGACCGCTTTTAAGTCGGACTGCTAAAGTAGGAGATGTGGAAATACAAAGCGTGTACGCATCAAGGTATCGTTTATTAGCGACTCAGATGTGGCTAGACGTCAGTTGAATTACACTGAGACAGACCGCTCTAGTTATATTTCGAGAGATCATGGGTGTTGTTTGCAAATCAACACTAGTGTGTTGCTCAATAGATTTCCCATATTTTTAACTCTGGCCGTTGGGCATTTGCTGGTTTTGACCTTGCTTCAGTTTGTTCGGAACTTCGGGGAAGCTGATTGATTGGTGACTATTCACGAGCTTTGTCGGTCTGCGCTCGAGAGACGGCGCAGGCTTAGTACTCACCCTCTTATTTGGTTCATTACACGAGCTCCGTCCTGTGTCAAGCTAGAACAAAGCCACTGGCCTCCGTGTACGGCTGGATCTGTGTCTGTTCTGGGTGGGATGTACGTCATTGGCACTACGTTAGGAACAGTTCCTACCAAAGTAGGTCGTTCCGTTTTGATCGCCTCGGATTGATGATCAAGCCTAAGTGATCCATCAGCACTCTCCTGATCAAGATAAATATATGGTATAGGTGGGAATTCGTCATATCTAGACTCACTCAAACAGCCGTCACACGCCCGGAAAAGCACAGTACGCGCGTTTCATCCTCTCGGGAATCGTCAGCAAGGTACATTCCATCGGATCCTGGTAGGACTCGAACCCGCAACTCGACTGTTGCCAGTCCGTGGTTGAGACCACTGAGCTACGGCGGACGGTAACGACCTTGGTCAATTGGTTAATAGATGTGGTATAGCGCCGCTCACTATCCACTGGCTTACAAGTTACTGTCGTGCGGAGGACATGGTAGCCTTCTCACTAAGCAAAGAGCTTACCAAACTAAAGCCGCCAATTAACTTATCGCATTATAAGCAGTTTGGTCTGTGTACTGCTTACGTAGGAGTAGTAGAGGAAGTTCGTTGTTATAGGTAGAAATTCGTCACGTCTAGTAACTTATTCACGATGGTCAATACCGTCCCTCGTAGCTCAGTGGTCTTAACCACGGACTGGCAACAGTCGAGTTGCGGGTTCGTGTCCTACCAGGGTCCGATGGAATGCACCTTGCTGACGATTCCCGAGAGGATGAAACGCGCGTACAGTGCTTCTCCGGGTGTGTGACGGCTGTCTGAGTGAGTCTCGATGCGACGAATTCCTACCTATACCATATAACTCCATCTAACACTCCAATGTAATAAATACGTGTGCATGTATGGTTTGGCGGCGTCCGTATCCGGATTTGCCTGTCACTGTGACGTCCATGGGAGCAATCACAGGACGCCTGCGCCTACAAAGGGGACCATGGGTGGCTTGCGCTGCGCCACCCATAGTTCCACCCACACACCCCATATCCGGTGTAAACCCGAAGGAATAAGACCGGAAGGCATGTGAATGGGAGCCACGTTTCATCAACGGAACCGACGCACACCTCTTCAACAAGCAGAACGGAAGCATTCCGGCCTAATTGGGAAATCATACACACCAGATGTTCACGAGGGGATGGCTGGACCGTAGCCCGTTCCACACAGGATGGAACCACTTTTTGAGCCTAGCACCGTCACGAGGACAGTGACCCCGTCCCCACCAGCGACGAACAACTGCCTCCTGTAGCCAGTATGGAAGAGGTAGTGGGTAATAGACAGGTAGACACCTTGTCAACATTCACATCAGGCGCATCCACACCCGGGAGCTCAGGCAACATCTACTTCTGAAATGCAAGATTATTCATCACACAGGTAAACGTACCACATACGCCTCCTTATTGACCTGGATTCGCAAGTTGAATGGGAATATTCTCATGGTGTTTCGATTCCGCTTGCAATAGTGCCTTCTCCGGCAACTGGGAAATCGCCCTTTTGAGCAGTCCGCGGAATTCGCATCGATCAAATTTGCCTTGAATTCGCAACACGTGAAATCAACATGAGTTTGTCATTAACTCACCTTCATGTTCTGGCAATGTTATTTTCGGTTTGTTCGAAAGTCGTTTTACTGCACTAAGTTAGCCGTACAAAAGCGGTATGAGTATCCTCGTCGAATTCATTCTGTATACATATACACTTA